AGATTTTTCCTGGTCATTCCCAAGTACTTCTTTGATGTTGACTCTTCAAGGTTACTTAGTGTTACCCTGGCAAGTTTACATCCTTTCCCTTCTTCCCATCTTTTTACGGTTTGCGCATGGGAGTGACATTTGACAATTTCCGCGATTGTTGTAGTTGACCAACCAAAAAGATCCCCAATATCAGACTTAATAAGTACCTATCTATATTGTAGTTTACATAATTATTATGTGTATAGAAATCATTTAAGTCGAATGTCAATAAACACACAGTATCAGCTGTTATATTCAAATTAAAATAACAATGAATTAATTACTTAAAATCAAAATGGCAAGTATCTTGTGTTTTTCTATTTAAATGAGACACTTTTGTTACATGTCAGTTAAATTAACAAAATCAAGGTCGTTGTAAGTTTGAACATTTTTTTCCTTATTGAATACAATCGCGTTTCTTTAATATTAATTAAATTTATTCAAATATCGGTATGGGAATGTGGCTTATACCGTTGACTTTGAACTGACCTACAATACAGCTTCTTTTTTCTAATATTTCTTTTATCATACAATTATCTATCGACTTAATTCTCACCTTGAATTTAGATATTTTTTACGGACTAAAAACCGAAATATCGATGTGTTTAATAAATATTTTAACAATTATTATTTGTTATTCTACTACAATAGTGGCACAGCATGGGTTGCAATATTGTTCGGTGATTTTTCTGATTATTATGAAGATGAAGAGCATCAACTTTCAAAAGATATACCAGGTGTTCTTATTATTCTTCTTCTAGTTGTACTAAAACTAGAATATCCAGATCAAGTTTAAGAAAGACACTCTGTGGAAAGAGGTCTTGTGAAAAGATATAATAAATTTTGTGGAAGTTTTGAAAATAAAGTTTTCAGTGTTTTATTATACATGTTATACAGAATGAATTTCCATCAAGCAGTGGCGCACCCAGGGGGGGTTTTGAGGGTCAACCCCCCCCCCTAGGAACTCATTCCGACACTGTTATTTACAAATTTTAAGGACTTAAAATGGTGAAGGTAGCAAAAAAACTTTCGGTGTCCAACCAAACCCATATCATATCATCCTATCATAACAATAATAGTCTAGTTCCTATATCAAAAGGAATTTTTACGATAACATTGTACAGACAGAAGTCAATGTCAGTTTTAAAATTACAAATAATAATAATAGTACTTGACCTGTGGGAGTTTTTGTCAGTTCTTCTATCAGGCTCTCTGTGTATTCTTAGAACCGATACCCAGAGGGTAGCAGGGATATCTGCTGTGGAACAAAAACTGACGCCTGGCACTAGGTATAAAATGCACACCCATGAAAATGGAGTTTAATAATTTATGTTTAGGGTCGCTGTCTGGGGATCGCCAGGACACGTCTGGAGCCAGCGCTGGACGTGACAGCATGCGGGACGTCGGTGGCAGTGTATTGAGGAGGCGGGCCTTTGTCATACAATCAGCTACAGGTCAACAACAGGAAGAACCACAAATAAGCCAAACAACAACAAGAGCTCCACTCGCTGAAGGTGCTGCGTTAGAATGTCAAAATTCCTACTGAACTCTCTAATGAACAGATTTCTGAGCTTCTCATACAAGAAACTCAACCTAATAATACACAGCAGGACAATAACGAGTTGAACGTTAGTCTGGTAAACGATATGGCACGCGCCGTACAAGAGTTTAGTGGAACAAACCCACTTAGCAGACCACCGCTACCAAAAATAAACTCTTCTAAGAAACTAGGAGCGCTGTTACAAATTGTGAATACTGAAGTCCTACACAATTATATCATAGAAGCACACCCATTGGAATATTTGCATATACTGATTTACTGTGCAGCAACAGCAATTGCTAATGTTATGGGTATTAAGATCAGAACGCGACGGGTACCAACAACGACTGGAAGGACCGGTAATAGAATAGCACCCTGGAAAAAACAACTGTTGAGGAAGATAAAATTATTGCGTAGGGACATTGGACAAATAACAGAGTAACATGAAGAGGAGTAAGAAGTAGAAAAATCATCAAGAGTGCTGAAGAAATATTGTTTAACACTCTAAGACACTCATGACATGATCCAGAAAACAACACACCTCAACAATGCCTGGACACATTAAAACAAAAACTATCTACGCAGGCCGCCTGAGGAGATACAAAGTTAGTAACAACCGGAAATGTAAGAATATACTTTTTGAGCAAGCAGAGAAGGCTTTCTATAGGAAACCTAATTCCACTGTAGAAAATGCAAATAAATCCTACCTAAGCTAAGAAGAAATTCATGAGTTTTGGGGAAACCAACTTTTGATGCCAGCTACTCATAATAACAATGCTGGATAGATTGAACGATTGAACAAACGACGAACATCTGTTAACACTACAGTAGTATTCCTTATGAACCTTTCACCGCTGAAGAAGTCTCGAACATTATCAAAGAGCTTCATAACTAAAAATCTCCTGGACCAGACAAAGTTCAAAACTTCTGGCTAAAGAAGTTTTGGGGTGTACACCCGAAACCACTTAGATCAGATGCTAAAAACTGTAGAAAATTTCTCAAATTATATTAGTATGCATTCTGGACTAGACAAGTGTCGTGTACTAAATATAGTCTGAGAAAAGGTTCAGCCTGGAGGTTTTGATATGCAAGATGCCCAAAACATCGAGGCAATGGGTGAAAATGATATTTACAAATATCTCGGAGTAAAACAAGCGCGGAAAATTAACCATACACAAATGAAAACTGAACTAACTTCGAAGTTCGTGCGAAGAGTAAGACAACTAAATCGGTAATATCTTAATAGTAACCCAATTATGCTATAAGACGTGTGTTTTTAGAGGAACAGGAAATTTCTGTGTTTTTCAGATTTTTTGAAATTTCTTCATTTATTCCACACAATGTCAAAAAGTTCTTCGACAATATACATGCCGTTTATTCTAGATATCCATCAGCTGTGTCTAATATCAGGATATATAACCTAACCTTGATGAGACTAGTACAACAACAGTGCAGAAACCTAAAAAAGTCGTGGCAGAGAAAGGTGGAAAACAGCTGAATAGTTGTACTAGCGGTGAAGGGAATTCTTATTACTACATGTGTAATTGTATGTCCGAATGGTACGTTTCTGCCTTCCTGTTATGGTTTTTCCAAGAAAATATTATAAGGTGCATATGACACAAGAAGCTCCACCTGGCACACTGGGTTTAGCAATTTCAAGTGAATGTATGAATAGCGAGAATTTGTCGACGTTATGAAACATTTCATGAAGTTTAGCAACAGTTCAATTGAAAACTCTTAAATACTGATCTACAACAATCATGAGAATCACGTAACATATCAAGTTGTTCAACTAGCAAAGGATAATAGTGTAATCATACTGACTCTGCCTCCACATTGTAGTGACAAACTGCAACCCCTTAATGTTTCCATTTTCTCCCCCTTTAAAGCGTATTACAATGCCGCTATAGACTCATGGTTGCCGAACCATCCTGGTAAACCTATTTCAATATACCAGATAGCACAATGTGTAGTAGAGGCACATATGGAACCATTAACACCTACTAATATTCTGTCAGGTTTTAATAAAACGGGAATTTTTTTCCTTAATAGAGACTTTTTTCTGAAGCTGACTTCATTGGCAGTTCTGAGACTTGTAAACCAAATGAAACTGAACAACCAAATCCACAACCAGAGTCAAAAGAAATGTCTAGTGTGCTTTCCAATCAAGTTATGTCATCCTCATCGACAGATGAAAATCAAGAAGTATCCCCACCAAGGACACCTGAAAAACGAATAATATCTCAAAACTCGTAAGTCAATAGTATTATCTGCGAATTCAAGTTCTTTCATCTCTCCTCATGAGTTTAAAGAATTTTCAAAAGCAGAAAAGAGAACGGTTGTGAAGGCAAGGAAAACAAAAAAGAGTGCAATTTTAACTAACACACTAGACATGGATCAGTTAAAACTGCAAGCAACAACCAAAAAAATGACTCCTCAGAATAACAAACGAATTAAGGTCAATTTAAATAAGGTAAGCGGCTCAGCACCAAAGCAGACAAAAATTTAACGAAGTGATAGGACTTCATCTGAGGAGAGTGAAGAACTAATCAATTACGATGATTCTTCTGGCGATGAATGTGAAAATTTACAGTTGGAAGAAGATTATGGCACTGGTGCTGGTATAGAAATTTCCATTGATAGTTTTGTATTAGTGAAGATTAAAAACAATATTTTTTTGTTGCTAAAGTTCTCAAGACATTAGACGATAATAAATTTAAAGTATCATTTTTAAAAAAAAAGTGGTAAGCTTCAAGGCTGCTTTATTTTTCTTTTAGTTGAAGACATTGCTCCAGTAGCAAGGTCAGACGTTTTATCAATTCTACCAAAACCAAAAAAAAGGTAGATAAAAGCGCCTTGCATCTTATTTCATTTTGATGTAAAATTTGACAGTATTAAGATCCGTTAAAATTTTCTTTCATTTCAGTTTTTCTATTGTACTTGTAAAATTGCTTTTTTCAATAATAAAAACTACACTCTATGTATTTACTTTAACAAATTATTGAAGTAATACGACTCATTGTGTACCACCAATGGCACACAACACAATGAGACAGATGTAGACGGTTAGAAAAATGATCATAGATTTTGTTTCTTTACTCATGAGGGAATATTTATTTCAGATTGTATTGAGGAAATAATCATATTGATGCCTGGTTAACTCAGTTTGTAGACAAATTAAAAAATGTCAATGTCAGAAATAGAAACGTGTTTTTGTCTCATTGTGTACTACCTTCCCCTAACAGATAAATAGCTTTCAAATCTAATCTGCTTTGTCTAAGATTTTAATATTAAGTTTAATTACATGATATTATGCATATTCCTAATGAAATCAGCAATCTTTAAAGATAAATTATAATTTGTTATTTATATTAGATATATTAAGTTGGATAGTGGGAGAAATCAAGTAATCTACATCAAGTAGTAATATCAGCTGTTCGCGCGATACGAGCAGCAAGACCAGCTGATCACAAAAACAAACGGCAGCGTTTCCCAGTGAGTTCGCGGCTAGCTGACAGTTCTCATCGCGCGTCAGAGTAGCTGTGTGTTCTTATTTTTTAATTTGTTTGGGATCAATTACTGGCTTACGGACGATTTTCCAGAAACAACGTAGTGTTACGTGATTTCTGTGAGTTTGAAAAGTGATGCCAAAAACGTCAAAACGGCCGACGTTTATTCCTCGTGGACGTATTGACGTTCTTCCTTTGTTAAACAGAAACAGGTAAGCTAAAGCGCTCTCGGGAACTCCCGACTCTTATCGGTTTGTTATGTAAACTGTATTACTAATGCGTTTTCCGAGGTGAACGCTTGCGCGGCGTTGCCTATGTATGATAAATGTTGTGATTTTAACGAATAATATTCGCTGGTTTTTGCAAGGTCAAATAATTATTCTGTTGCATAGAAACAAAAGTACAAGTATATAAAAATGTACTTTATAATAATTTTATTTATCGTTGTATCAACAAATTTTTTATCATTTGATGATATAGATAATCACACTCAATTTTAGATCTGTTATGTACATTATATCAATATGTACAATTGAAACAATGTGCAATTTTTTATTTAAATAAGAGATTTTAAATAATCATACCATATTATTCAAATACATTACACAGGCCTACAGTGTTTTTGGTGCCAAAGTGTTGAGATCTGATTTTATTTACATTTGGGGTACTAATTTCGGATATGGCTTTGGTTTTGCCCTATCAGCTCCAGTTTTCAAGATGTCATGCCAGGTTTTATGCATTAAAATACGAATATGCTGATTATATTATGCTGATACGATACTTACTAAATTGAAATAAAAATCACACAATTAGAAAATTCGTATATTTTAAGCCATTTAACTACAATAAAGCCCTTTGTACAATGAAACAGATATACAATTAGTTTTGAGAACAAAACTAACAAAAAAGAAAAAAAACTTTACTAGACGTACTTAACGAAAGCTTCGCTTGCGTGATTTCATGGAATGAACTTTTAAACAATCTCTCTTCAAACTCCAGAGCAAAAATCTGCCATCATATGTGTATCCCTTCTTCCTTGCTAGCGATCCTCAATGGTTTTTATGTCTTGGTGAAATCTCTCACCTTGCTTCTCACTTGTGTCACCTAAGTTTTTAGGGAAAGGGTCCAGGTGGCTGTGAAGCTAGTAGACTTTGATGCTCATATTACATATAAGTGATGGGAAGTTATTCAGCAAATTGTTTACCAGCTCATCATAGTTTTCACTTTTGTGATTTCCCAGAAAATTTTTAATAATGTCCACAAATGAAAGCCAAGCTTTTTTCTCTACCTCATTTATTGACCCCACAAAAGCCGGATTCTTTGTAAAAAGTCTGATCTGTGGTCCATCAAATATTCCAGCTTTAAGTTTTTCCGTACTTATCTGATGCAGCTTCCTTCCTATGTAGGCAAAGCATGGTCCATTAGAATCAAGTGCCTTAACGAATTGCTTCATTAGGCCTAGCTTAATATGGAGGTGTGGTAAGATTATTTTCTCTGGTTCGAATAAAGACTGGACAATAATGTTCTTTTGCCCAATAACCAAGTTTTTTCTCTTAGGCTACTCTTTTTTATTCCAGCGGTTTTTCGGTCACTATGATCCCAGAGGCAGAAGAATCAAGGATATTTTGTGTAGTCGCTTTGCTGCTCAAGAAGAAAGTTTACCATTTTCAAGTCTACACAAATTTACATGTTATCTTCTTCTATAATCATGGTTGAATGAGCAATTGGTATTGACCCAAACTTGTTTCCATTGTGAAGAAAAACACATTTCAAACTGCGCTTGGAGTTATCAATAAATAAACTCCATTCATTTGCATCGTAGTGTGGAGTAATATACAAATCGAATACATCGTTTTGTGGAAAATAAATTGGCATAATACAGTGAGAACAACAAATATACTGAGGAATAAGTTTAATTAACAATGTATATTCCTTTGAATCCATATTTCAATTGATTGCCCCTACTATAGTTAAAAGCAGCTTAAAGATTCAAGGCACCAAAACAAATTTTTTTTTCTGTAGACGTGTGTTATCAGCAGATGTGTTTGTACATTTATCTTTTTATCATTTTTGCATACTTGTCAAGATAAATATTCACTTTAATGATTTATGATTAAATACATGATCTTTGAGTTCTAATTTCACGGAGAATTTAATTTTTTCAGATTTTTAAACCAACATATTTATTGCCCCTCAACCCCTTATTCTGGAACCATTTATTTTGACAATAATTGAGGAGCAGACTTTCAAATCGCACTTACTTAGTTTATTTTTTACATTTTTCAGGAAATAAGAAAACCTGCCACTTAAAGAGTACTTTTTATTCTTCTTCTTCTTCTAGTGGACTATTTCGAAGCCATGACATGGCTCTTTTGCCTACTTCTAATTATTATTTTGCCCTGTTTATAGTTATCAACAAACTTGGACAATATGGACAAAACGCAATCTGATTGTCTTTAAGACAAAATGTAGTTTGATTGTCCCTAAATGATTAAAAATAAAAATATGAACTGAAAATATATTTCTGTGTGTTTCGAAAGCAATATGGTAAAAAAAATCATATGAAATGTATGTCGTCCTCCAGCAGACATCGTCACATTGATCGCAGATCTGGTTTTTTTCAATGATATTTTCACAATACTTATCTTTCAAAATTGGATCTAACTAAGTTTACTCTGGATCTAATGCCCATTACTTGCCTGATAAACTAACTAAAAATTGTGATGAGCTGTCCAGTTTTTTCTTCTTAACAGCATGCTTCATTGGCAATTCGCGCAGTACTATGTTACTTTTCTTTTGGTTGAAGTAAACTCGAAAATTTTTAGAACAGTCATCATTTTTATACAAAACCTGTTTTATACAAGATTTTATTTTTTCCAGTAGTTTGTTTGCCTCGAGTTATGATTATTCTTTTGGCTTCACCGATGCCTATAACTTTTTTGAGTGAAAGTACTAAATGTTTCATGTCATACAAAGTCCAATCAGAGCCAATCTTGACAACTTGTCCTTTATTAGAATAGATTTCATAATATTTCGATTATTTATATATTTGCTCAACTTGAAGCAATTTTATGGGGGCTATAAAGTAATGAGTTAGTACACGTTCGGATGAAGGGATATTTGTCAATCTACCTCCCAATCGGTATTAATAAGCAGATCGAAAGATCTTAACAAGAAACTCGGACGTCTTCTTACAAACTCCTTCTGATGACGGGTAGACCCAGAAACACGTGTCAGGGAGTGGTAAGAGACTCAAATTAAATCGAAACGCAACCTTCTTCGTACAATATTTTTTTATTTCAAGCTTTTCTTCTTCGTTAGCATTACTTTTGGGAATATCAACGATACTTCCGATCAGTTCTTTCAGCTGCCTTTGTAATGTTGGCATTTCATATTTTCTGTGCAAATTTGAGGAAACAAGTTCATCGCCAAGGGTTTTTATAAATTTAAATCTAGTCCAATTATTTTCGGGAATCGAAGTAAACATAATGTATGAATTTACTCCACATAATGTATGAACTTATTTCTGGTAGTCCATTATCTGCATGTACTTCTATGGAATGATGTATGGAAGAAATTAATATCACAGCTTTATTTTTCTTAGTTATATGGGATAAAAGTGTTAGGTCTTTGGTAAATCCATACAAGGTGTCGCCTTAATTACGATTTGGTCGCGAAAGGAACTGTGGAGGAATTTCTTTTTTATTTCGGGAAAACGGGACGATCGAGGTACCTCTCATTAACACGTTCGAATATACTTTAAAAGCTAAGAAGGTAATACACCGAATTACAGGTTTCTACATAGTTGTGGCGAGAAACGCAGACGCGTTAATAAAGGTGCGGAGTCTGTGAGACGCATGGTCCCCAGTTAAGGGTTAAATCTGTGGACTGTTAACTACTTTCTTTATTTTACGGAAGTTATTTGTCTATGCATTGTCTATTTTTACACATAGTTTTTTAAGAGATTTTTAAACTGACTAATGTTTACAATTCTTTGTTCACAGTAATTACCTTCTACTTGTGATTTTATCTTTTCTCTTTTATGATTTTTTGTTATTATAAATTTTTTCGAAATAGATCATTTTTATGACACATCTTGTGCCAATTCTTTGTTCTTTCAATTCTTGCCATAGTTATTTGAATTCTTAATAAATTATGTATAATTATCATCTTGAAAGATGACATAATTTTCATTATTGCTGTTTTCTACCTACACAAAATATTTACAAAACTGTCCTATTACGTCTTAACATCGACAAAGATAGTCCCAATCCACAGATAAACTCGGCAACGCTGCTTTCATGCTCCGGGAATCGGTAGTATTATTCTTCATACCTAGCATAATTACTTATTGCAATATGCCATTGGTTCTTGATGCAAGTATCTGTTTTATTTCATGTCGTACTTTCATTTCTATGCCACTATAATTAGTTTCTTACGTAAACTTTGCAGATAATTTGGTTTTACTTGACCACAAGCGCAAATTTGAAGCTAGAAAGGATTTATTTCGCCATTTTTTGCAAATCTAAGATATCTCATTCTAAAAGTCTAACTGACATTTTGATAGATAAAATGTAGTAGAGTTTTTTACTATAAAGTGCAATAGTACAACTATACAAGGACTTTTTTAAAGAATATCTTGGATCAATGTTTAAAATAACAGGGGTTAATGAATGTAGGGGTTAATATATACACTGATATAAACCTGTTACTGTTAATATATACACTAAACAATCTCTAAGATTATCAAGTCCATATTTCTTGTAAGAAATACATTACAAAAGTGGGAGATAATCTCAGTTTGGTTTAGATTAGTAGCTATGGATTATTATTATAGTGTATTTTTATGTATGAGAGAGTAATAAAACAATAAATTATGTATGCAAATCCCTAAACTGTTGATACGGGCGACTCAATGAAAAACAAATATTTGTCAACAAGTTTACAGAAGTATATAGGAAAACAATTTTAAATTGAGTATGACCACCAGGTATAAAGGTTGAAGCAGAATAGAATACAATAGTTGTGAGGGTTACTAATCCCTAAATAAGGTTGTCAGTGTCGGAGTGATGGAGGTTAACAGGTACTAATGAATTTGCAAGAAATGTAAGATGTTTATTTTATTGGTTATATATAACCAATAAAAGTTTAATAAGTACCTACCTATTTGCAAAATAGAGTTTAATTCTTTAGATAAAATAAAACGTTTTAT